TGTTGAGAATTTTAGCATCTATGTTCATCAAAGATATTGGCCTGTAGTTTTCTTTCTTTGTTTGATCTTTACCTGGCTTGGGTATCAATATGATGTTAGCTTCATAAAATGATTTGGGGAGTGTTCCATCTTTCTCAATTGCCTGGAATACCTTCAGTAGGATTGGTATTAGCTCCTCCTCAAATGTCTTATAGAATTCTGCTGGAAAGTCATCTGGTCCAGGACTTTTTTTGTAGGTAGTTTTCTTATTACATAGTCAATTTCCTTGATTGTTATTGGTCTATTTATGTTCTCAATTTCTTCTTGTTTCAATCTAGGCTGGTTGTGTGATATCAGAAAGTCCTCCATTTCCTTAAGGTTTTCAAGTTTGTTTCCATACAAGGGTACATGGCAGTCTCTAATGACTTTTTTGTATTTCTTCAGGATCAGATGTGATTTCACCTTTTGTGTTTCTGATTGTGTTTTTCTGGGCTTTTTCTCTCTTTTTCTTGGTCATTCTAGCTAGGAGACCATTGATCTTGTTTATCCTTTCGAAGAACCAACTTTTTGTTGCATTGATTTTTTTGTATTATCTTTTTGTCTTCTATGTCCTGGATTTGGGCTTTTATTTTAGTGATCTGGATTCTTCTGCTGAAGTTAGGGTTTTGGTGGTTTTGTTTTTCCAGCTTTCTTAGGTGGCTTGTTAGGCTGCTAATTTGTGATCCTTCCATTTTCTTCATGTGCATTTGTAGAGATATAAATTCCCCTCTTACTACAGCTTTCATGGCATCCCAGAGATTTTGGTAAGATGTTTCTTCATTTTCATTTGTTTCCAGATATCTTTTAATCTCTGTTTTGATTTCATCATTGACCCAGGAGCTGTTTAGCATCATGCTGTCTAGTATCCATGTCTTTGTGGGTTTTGGGGAAACCTTGTTGATGTTGATGTTTATTTTTATTCCACTGTGGTCCAAGAAGGTGCATGGTAAAATTTCGATCTTTTTAAATTTGCTTATGTTTGATTTATGGCCAAGTATGTAGTCGATCTTAGAGTACGTTCCATGCGGTGATGAGTACAATATATATACTGTGGTCATTGGATGGAGTGTTTGTAGGTATCAATTAAGTTCAATTGGTCAAGAGTCACCTTGAGGATCTCATTGCTGATTTTTTGTCCTGATGATCTGTCTCGGGTTGTGAGTGGGGTGTTAAAGTCCCCAGCTCTGATAGTGTTAGAGTTCATATCATTTTTGAGTTTACATAGAAGCTGCTTTATGAAAGTTGGCGCTCCTATGTTGAGTACATATATGTTTAAGACATATATTTATTGGTGATGAATTGAACCTTTTATCATTATGTAGTGGCCTTCTGTATCTTTTTAAATTTTTGATAGCTTAGAGGATATTTTGTCTGAAATTAAGATCACAACTCCTGCTTTCTTTTGTGTTCCGTTTGCCTGAAAGTTTCTTTCCCATACTCTTACTTTGAGTCTGTGAGTGTCCTTTCTAGTGAGGTGAGTCTCTTGAAGGCAATAAATTGTTGCCTGATGATATTTTATCCATTTTGCCATTCTATGTCTTTTCAGTGGTGCATTCAGTTCATTCACACTTAGGCTAATTATTGAAATGAAAGAGTTGATCCCTGTCATAAGGTTCTTACAGAGTTCTGTTCCTGTTTGTTTTCTTTTTTGGTTTTGGAGTTGGTTCATGTGTGTTTTTAATCTTTTGCCTGTACTCTTGTGAAGAACGTTGCTGTTCTTTTTTCCTTTTCTTCTGTTTTCAGTACGTTCTTAAGTGTTTCTTGTAGAGGTGGTCTGGTGGCAGCATAGATTCTTAGGGATTGGATATCTGGGAAAGATTTCAATTCTCCCTTGCTGATGAAGCTTAGCTTGGCTGGGTATGTTATTCATGGTTGAAATTGTTTATCTTTTAGAACTTTGAAGATAGGACTCCAAGCTCTCCTAGCCTGGAGGGTTTCAGTAGATAAATCTGCTGCTATTCTAATTGGTCTTCCCTGGTAGGTAGTCTGACCTTTTTCTCTTGCTGCCTTTAGGATTTTTTCTTTTATAGGTACTTTGTTTAGGAGAATGATTATGTGTCTGGGAGTTGGTCTTCTCATTTGTTGTCCTGCAGGGGTTCTCTGAATCTCTTGTGTTTGAATTTTTGCATCACTGATGAGATGAGGGAAGTTTTTTCTTGAATGATTTCATGAAATGTTTGTTGCAGTGTGACCTCTGACTCTCTCTATCTCTGCCTCAGGAAGGCCAATTACTCTGAGATTTGGTCTCTTGACGTAATCATTCATCTCTTGAAGGTTTTGTTCTGTCTTTTTAAGCTTCTTTTCTATGTTTTTGACAGTTTGGGTTAGTTCTGTATTTTGGTCTTCAAGCTCTGAGTTTGTTTCTTCTGCTTAGCTAATTCTGCTTTCCATGCTTATTAGTTTGCTATTTATTTCCATCACAGTATTCTTTACTGCTGTTACTTCTGTCATCAGCTCCTTCCTATTTTCCTCTTGTCTCTCCTCAATTTTTTTTACTCTCTATTAATGTCTTGATGTCTGGGTTTTTTGCATGTGACCAGTCATTCTGGGGGCTCTTCATTGTTTGTGCTCCAAAGTCTGTTTTCTCAGTGTCTGACCTCCCAGGGGTCTGTGTGAGCCCTATATTCTTCTTTTGATTTTCCTTCATTTGTGCAGATTTTTCCTCCCTACATTTCCCTTCCCTCCACTTCCCCATCTTCTTTAATTCTGTTATTCAGGGGTGGAGGGGTTGCTTTTACTTCTGTTTGTTCAATCTCCTATTCTTTCTAATGTATTTCCTCTTGCTTTGTTCAGTTCTGGAGTTGGACTGTAGGTTGAGGGCAGTCTTTTTGCAGTTTTGAGATTTAATTAAGGGGGGAGTTGTGATTCAAAATCTCTCTGCAGCTCCCTGCTCAGGTTGCTGGAGTCACCAGCCTTGAGGACTCTCCTCCTTGATCTGCTCTGAAAGAGAGGTGCCAGTTGGCTGCTTCTAGGTAACCATCTTAGATCCAGATATTCTTAAATTTGCTGCCTCTTTCACTTCTGCTTCCCTCCTGTGATGCCCTGTTGGGCCCTTAGCATCTCATGCTGAGGCTTGTGTAGTATCCTCTGAAGTAGTGTTCTTACTCTTGAGTCCTGTCCCCAATCTGTTCTTCAGACTTCACCCACATGAAGTATAAGTAGTTTTAAGGCTCTGGAAATTATTTCTGTAGGAAAGTGGCTCTTAACATTTCATGTGCAACACTATAGTCTAGAAACCTTGCTAAAACATCACAAAGAGCTTCAATCCCTCCAGAGTTTCTGACACAGGAGGTCTGTGATGGTACCTGGGAATTTGCATTCCTAACAGATTTCTAGGAGCTGATACTGTTGTTAGCTTGAGGTCCACGCTTTGAGAACCATTGTTTCCAGATTTGAGAAGGATTACAGCCCTGACAAGGAGAAGTGAGGATAGACCCAATGGACCGGCATGTGTGATTGGTTCCACCCAGGGCGAGTCAAGGTGGGAGGCACACTGCAGATCTGGGGCAGATGCCCTATAACTATGACAAGCCCAGAAACAGCCAAAGTAGGTAAAACAACAGCAGCAGCAATGCTGGGTGAGTGAAAGCAGCCTCCCCTCTCTGTAACGTGGGAGTTGCCTTATGTGCCTGGTCTCCTTTAGCCCTCCCTTCATCTTTCCAGTGAGAAATGTGAGGCTTGATGTTAACACATGTATCTGCCTTAGAGCTGGGCTCAGACTGAGGTCTTTGACTCTGTCACAGGCACAGAGAGGTGATGAGGAGACTTAAGCCTGAGTTGGGTAGATAGATGTTATTGCACTTTTGCAGTCTCCACATCTGTTGCTTACTACCTGTGTCACCTGAAACAGATAATCTCTCTCTGCCTCAGTGTCCACACCTGAACAATGGTGATATCAACAATTTCCTCTTGGGGTTGTTGTGAGGTTTACCTGTCATGTGTAAAGAAAGTTCTGGCTTGAGGGTGGCTGCCATGAGCACTCAGTAGTGTGGGTGTCCTTGCTGGCCACAGAGCTGTGAGGTGGTTGGGTCACCAGCCTCTTAACTATGGTCAGAAGAGGCACTTGGAAGATTCCCAGACACAAAATCTTCCTTCCTATGTGAACTCGGCAGATAAGTCTTACCTGCCCCTCCTTGGAATGGCAGAGGTCCACCCTGGGCTCATGTTTCTTACAATCTCTACTGATGGGATTTGATGTAAAGGAAAACCCTCAGCTCCATTCAGCACCCTTAGGTGCCCCCAGTCTAAGAGGACCCAGCGGCACCATGCCCAACCCCCACTCTCACCCCTCAGCCACCCCATCACCTCACCTAGGGACTTACTTGAGTGGGCAGAACCCACAGAGTAGAGGCTTGGGCCAGGCTCCAGGAAGCTTCCAGCCTGGTCTGCAGTTAGAGACAGTGAGATTAACACACTCAGCTGGGATTTTCTGAGGTTTTGGGGATATGAAGAACCACTAATTTCTTTATTTATAGAGAAATAAAGATAAAATAGCTCAAGACTTTGGCCTCTAGCAGATTGAGGCCTCTTCCTATATGTTCCAAGCATTAGAAAGCTATTTGGGGCAAAAGCCTCCTTTTATTGTCCCTCTTGAGCCAACACCCAAGTGCCCGCCTCCATGAAGAACTTTGAAGCCCTGCACCTGGGTCATTCTTCCATCCCAGCCTCAGAAGTTCCCTTGTCATCTGAGATTTCTCTTCCATCTGGGTAGGTTGGGAGGGGAAAGACACATTTGGAGGTTATACAACCATCTGGTTGGTAGGCAGGATGTCATAGCTCTGAATCTTTAGCTGGGGATGATCCATTTATCTACCACCTGATGTTCCTGGGCACTGTGGCAAAGCTTCCTTTTCCATTCTCGCATTCCTTGTCTAATTCATTTTCCAGGAAAATTCTAAAGAATACTTACTGTGCAATGTCAGCAAGAAGGAACTGGGTCTGTGTACAGCACTTAGCAAGGTCCTTCTTTAGGAATTACACTTTATCCTCTTCACCTCCACCCTTTTTTTAAAGAGACAAAGTTTCACTCTTGTTACCCAGGCTGGTGTGTAATGGTGCTATCATAGGTCACTGAAGTCTCAAATTTCTGGTCTCAAGCTATCCTCCTGCCTCAGCTTTCCAAGTAGCCCTGCCATGAGTTTTTAAAGAGTCTTACCTCCTGAGCAGCACTGGAATTCATCTTTTTCCCAGTCTTCAGAGTTCATTTTCACTCCTGAGTTCTCCAAAGAGGACATTTTTAGAGTTGAGATATTACACAATAGGAGATGGAATGAAGTGCAAGACCTAAGTAGACTGAAAGGGAAAAGTGATAGCAATTTCCAATCCCGGAACAACTTGCTAGATGTCCCTAATGCTGAACAGGTCACTGGCATTGCTCTCTGCTTGGAAATGCTCAGTTGCTGAACAGGTCACTGGCGTTGCTCTCTGCTTGGAAATGCTCCTTGCACCCAGGAAGACTTCACAGGGCCAGGTCATGCTCTCCTATCTGTCACTCCTCCAAAGCAGAGTTTTTAAAATATGGATCACAATTCTAACACATACATCATGATATCATTTTTTGTGGATCTTGACATTTTATAAAAATAAAATACAAACGAAAAGCTCAAGATGCATTGCTCTAATCCCAGGACTGGTAAACTATGGCCCATTGGCCAAATCTGGGCCATTGGCTCTTTTTTCTTTTTTTAAATAAATTTTTATTGAAACACAATCATGTCCTTGTTTACCCACTGTCTATGGCTGCTTTGAGTAGTTGAGAAATCATTTGGTAAGCCAGGTTTAAAATACTTACTGTCTGAGCCTTTCCATAAAAATTTGCTGACTCTCTGCAGTAGCCAAATTTTGCCTAACAAAAAGCAAATTTCGGTATAATCTATATCTATGAAAAACTGGTGCCTTGAAAGGTCCCAAGAGGTTCAATTTTTCAATATCATAAGGCAAGATTGATTCTCAAGATTTACTGCATCAGGAAGAGTTGGAGATTATATATACATATATAGATATTTTGCACACCCTATGTCAGTTGACAAAAAGCTCTACCCAACATCAGTCCAGGTCAACACAGTGAAGGAAGTGGAGCAAGAATTGATATTCCCATTTTACAATGAAAAATCTGAAGCTAAGTGACTTCTTCAAGGTCACATCACTTTTAAGATTGCAGAGGGAGGCAGTTTGTTTAGAAAACCAACCTTTTGAGAATGGCTTGGCAGTGAGACAAAGGAAATGAAATAGCTTTTGCAAAAAATATAGGTGACAATGAAGGGCTCTAGGGTGAAGAGGATTCACACCAGGTGGTTCTGGGAGTGGATATAGCTGGTGAGTATTTAAGGACAGAGATAGCTACTATTTTATTTAACTTATTAGCCTGTATCCCGAAAACATAAAGCACAACTGCTTTTGTCATTTTAGGGTATATCAAAGGACTCAGAAAATTGGTGGCACTTGACAAAGAATTTGGCAGTCAGGACATGAGAACAAGAGATGTCTAAAAGAAATGTGGGAAGCTTTCCTCCAGTGGCTGCTGCTCCCACCACTGCCAGCCTGCTCTTCAGCCAGCCGTGCAGGCCTGCGAGCTGGCAGACATCAGCCTCACACACTGCTCTGCTACCACCACCGCTGCCAGCCTCACTGACCCATGGGCTGGAAGCCCGCAGTCCCATACACCACTCTGCTAACACAGCTGCCACCACCGCCACCGCCACCCCACCAGGGGCAGCCCTCGGCTCCCAGCCCCATGGAACTCCAGGCTCCCTCACCTCCTGCACCACCCTACCCCACCCCGAGTCACTCCACACCATGCCAACCTGCATCACCCAGCTGTCTCACACTCTGCCTCCTCCAGTTCAGTCCCCAACCATGGCAGGACCAGAGATCAGCTGGAGGCCCAAGTCCAGGCAGAGACCTGCATTGCCCCACTCAGCTCCACCAAGCTCTGCCCAACCTACAACTTGGGACCTAAGGTAATTGCATCAAACTAGGAGAGACAGAAGTCCCTCTCCTATGCTAGAAAGGACACAGTTCAGATCTGAGTGGCAGACTTGACAGGCAGCAAGCCAACTGAGTCCAGATCTGATCCACCCTTCTTCCACAGCAGGCCTGGGTCATCTGACCCTAGCTGTGAGCAACACTACCAGCCTGTGATGAGAGCTGGAGATCAGAGTTGAAAGGACGTTGGACTTAGAGGAATGATCTCAGAGTGTGCTTGGTTCCCTTGTTTTTATTTTTTATTTTTTTCTTTGTCTGTTTTACTCATCTTTTTTTTCTCTTTTCTTTCTCTTCTTACTATTAATGATAACATTTTCATACTTGTTTTGTTTCTGTTATTTTACTGCTTTTTTTTCTTTAAACTTCATGTTTGTGTAGGGGAATAGTACATCAATAAGGAGGTTGGTTGGCTTGTGTGTCTGTATGATTGTATGTTTTTGGGGTTTTTTTACTGTTTTCTATTTTTGTGTCTCTTTTCACTTGTTAGTTGGTATGTTTGTCTGTTTTCCCTCTTACTCTTTTCTCTCTCAATCTTCCTCTTCCCCCTCCCCTTTCCTGTTCCATTCTTTTCCTTTTTCTTACTTCATTTTGCTTTCAGGAAGCAAAGCTATACTCCCACTGCATGGACAGATTGCAAGGCTGTGTGGAGTGGGTTCCAGGGTACCCATACACCTGTCAGTGGATACTGGGATCTGCAGATAGATTTTGAATCATAGCTCCACCTTCAATTAAATCTCAAAACTGCAAAAAGTTATAGCTCCCAACCCAGATTTGAACAAAACTAGAGGAGTCACATAGGAAGAATAGAAGATTTGAACAAAACTAGAGGAGTCACATAGGAAGATTAGAAGATTGAGCAAACAGAAGTAAAAGCAACTTCACTATCCTTGAACAACAGAATTAAAGAAGGAGGGTGAGGAAAAGGTGGGGAGGAAAATCTACACAAATGAAGAAAAACCAAAAGAAGGATATAGGTCTCACACAGACCCCAGGGGATCAGACACTGAGAAAACAGACTTCTGAATGCAAACAATGAAGAGCCCCCAGAATGACTGGTCACATACCACAAACCCAGACATCAAGACATTAATAGAGAAAATATAAAGAATTGAGGAAAGACAAGAGAAAAATATGAAGGAGTTAATAACTGAGATAACATCAGTAAAGAATACTGTGATTGAAATAAATAACAAACTAATAAGCATTCAAAGCAGAATTAACCAAGCAGAAGGAAGAATCTCAGAACCTAAGGACCAAAATATAGAGCTAACCCAAACTGTCAAAAACATAGAAAAGAAGCTTAAAAAGTCAGAACAAAACCTTCAAGAGTTGAGAGATTACTTCAAGAGACTGAACCAAAGAGTCATTGAACTTCCTGAGGCAGAAAGAAAGACAGAGACCACCCTGGAATAAACATTCCATGAAATTATTCAAGAAAACTTTCCTCTCTCATCAGTGATGTGAAAATTCAAACACAAGAGATTCAGAGAACCCCTGCAAGACAATAAATGAGAAGACCAACTCCCAGACACATAATAATTCAACTAAACAAAGTTGGTATAAAAGAAAAAAATCCTAAAGGAAGCAAGAGAAACAGGTCAGACCACCTACTGGGGAAGACCAATTAGAATAGCAGCAAATTTATCTACAGGAACACTTCAGGCTATGAGAGCTAGGAGCCCAATCTTCAAAATTCTCCAACTCGGTGGCTCAACCTGTAATCCCGTGCCTTTGGGAGGCTGAGGTGAGTGGATTGCCTGAACTCGCAGGTTCGAGACCCACCTGGGCAACTTGGCAAGACCTCATCTCTACAATAAATAAAAAAAAATTAGCTGGGTGTGGTAGCCCATGCCTGTAGTTCCAGCTACTTGGAAAGCTGAGGCGGAAGGATCGCTAGAGCCCAGCAGGTCAAGGCTGCGGTGGCCGGGAGCAGCCACTACACTCCAGTCTGGGGACAGAGTGAGACTCCAACTCAAAAAAAAAAAGTTCTCAAAGATAAACATTTCAACCAAGAATAACCAACCCAACTAAGCTAAGCTTCATCAGTGAGGGAAAATTAAAATCTTTCCCATACATCCAATCCCTAAGAACTTACCCTGCCTCCAGACAACCTCTACAAGAAACACTTAAGAAAGTATTAAACACAGAAGAAAAGGAAAAAAGAAAAACAATGTTCTTCACAAGAGTACAGGAAAAAGATTAAAACACACATGAATCAACCCAAAAACCAAAAGAAAGACAACAAACAAACAGGAATAACAACAACTCTATAAGAACCACATGGCAGGGATAAACTCTCACATTTCAATAATTAGCCTGAATGTGAATGGACTGAATGCACCACTGAAAAGACATAAAATCGCAAAATGAATAAAATATCATCGGGCAACAATATTGTCTCCAAGAGACTCATCTCACCAGAAAGGACACTCACAGACTCAAAGTAAGAGGATGAGAAGCAAAATTTCAGGTGCATGGAACACAAAAGAAAGCAGGAGCTGTGATCTTAATTTCAGACAAAATACCCTTTAAGTTATCAAAAACTTAAAAAGATACAGAAGATCACTTCATAATGACAAAAGTTTCAATCCATCAACAAGAAATATCCATCCAAACATATGCACCCAACATAGGGGCACCAACTTTCATAAAGCAGTTTCTAGAAAAACTTAAAAAAAGATATTGACTCTAACACTATCATAGCTAGGGACTTTAATACCCCACTCACAACCCTAGACAGATCATCAGGACAAAAAATAAACAAGGAGATCTGGAACCTCAATCTAATTCTTGATCAAATGGACTAAATTGATACCTACAGAACACTCCACCCAACAACCAAGGAAAATATATTCTGCTCATCACCGCATGGAATGCTCTCTAAGATTGACCACATTCTTGGCCATATGAGTCATAACCAAATTTCATAAGATTGAAATTTTGTCATGCACCTTCTCAGACCACAGTGGAATAAAAATAAATATCAACACCAAAATGCTAAGGAGTTGCTTAGCGTCATGCTGCTTAATGTCCATGTCTTTGTGGGTTTTGGGGGGAAACATCTGACCCTGAAGAAATACAAAAGATTATCAGAGACTACTATGTACACTTGTATGGAAACAAACTTGAAAACCTAAAGGAAATGAAGGACTTTTTGATATCACACAGCCTCCCTAGGTTGAAACAAGAAGAAATAGAGACCCTAAATAGACCAATAACAATGGAGGAAATCGACTATGTAATAAGAAAA